CTTAAATTGCTTATTTATGTTGCGCATTCAACTTTATTTTGGTTCAAAGATCGATCTATTTTACCCAATGAACCATCAATTAGCTTTTGAAGACTCCGCCATAATGGAGACGGTACCGGACATGGATGCGTTGCTTGATGAACTTGAGGAAGTGGTGGTTGGGAACACAAGGAAAGAATCAAAGCTCCGGGAGAATAACCCTAATCAGGCTGTGGTTATTGAACTCCCCGTCCATCTCCGAAAATTGTCAGAAAAGGTTAGTTGGTCCTTCTAGTAGATCTTTATGTCAGAAAAGGTTAGTTGGTCCTTCTAGTAGATCTTTACATTGCTCTGGAAGCTTCACTATACTTATCGTTGCCTCTGGGGACGAACTTTGTCCACCAAAGTGATGTCAGTATGAAGGGCGGTAGCATTATTCAGTTCTTGAAGAGTGGAAGTCAGACGGAGATTGGATCTTTTTCAAATAGGATTCATCATAATTAATAAAAGTTCAGGAAACTATAAAGATCGAGTTGAAGCCACCAGATCCCGCACTTGCTTCGCTGGATGGATTCTCAAGGACCGAAACTATCGCGTTACCAGCAAAAACGAAATCGGTGGGTATCAACTAACCACTGATACGTTTTTTACTTTATTCGTAGTTGTTGTGAACGGCACAGATGTTCTTTAAGAGCGCTTACGATGACGATAGCGGAAAGCTTTCTACATTGTGCACTCAACCAGGAAATAGCCATTCCCATCAAAAGGTAAGCTTCCTTAGAGTTCATGGCCACAAAGGCCGAGCGCTGTTCAGTTATTTAAAAAATCGCAATTTGTTTTGCAGTCGATCAGCGATGATGAGACGCGTACTGGTGAGTCGGAAACCGACACCGACTTTGAGGAGGTTCTTCAATATCTGAACCAATTTGAGGACAAAGTTTCTGATGTTTCTGATGTTTTAGGTGTGTTTATTCTTTCATTTTTTTTCTGCAGTTCTCTTTATTTGAGTCCCTCCCGAGTTTTCATTGGTTACAAAGACCCTAAATCTTCTTTCTGTGTCGATGCAGGATTCTTTCGCGGAGGATTACTTTGCAATTTGCGCGAAGCGCCCACCTCACTGGGAGCCCCGCTGCAAATAGTCACACTCGCTTCTTGCTACAAACATAATTTACATTTACATTAACATTACATCCTATATACTCTGTAGTGTTGAATGGGCTATCATTTAATGCCACACCTGACTCCGTCCCCATCGACCCCGCATACCTGTTACAAGACTTCTTGAAATTTTTGCCCCGAATTCTAACTATAAAATTGGATGGAAATGGGAATTACAAGCCCTAGGATCTTACTGGATCATGAAGGCCATTGAAAGATCGCAGATTCATCCGAGGAATTCAAGCATGCTAGATTAAGCCTTCTCGATTTTGGATTCTCAAAGAGTTTAACGTGATGTATTGTTGCTCTTGTGGGGGTCAGGTATTTATCCCAGTATTTCATTTCTTTCCTCACCCTTCAAGCTGTTAAATAGTCTTTAATATACATATTGAAAAGCATGGCGGGCAGGCATCGCAGTGAAGTGTACTGTACAACGTGTGGATGAGACTAGAAAAGCCTTAGAAGCCTTCTTCATTAAAGCCCGAGACCCTAAATTGAACAACAGGAGTGAGTGCTTGTCCGTCACCGATGAATTCCTACCATTCATATCACTATGTGAGCTGTGAGTTACCACTCTTCTGCATATACGCATCCGAAGCATCATGCAGAACGTCTCACTTGCTCCAGTGGTCGGTTGTCGCGTGGTTGATATACAGGAACTCGGCGCTGGTGGAACAGTGGTGGCACAGAAGCATCACATATAGAGTAGTCTTTAATTTTCGTGAACCCTCTTCACCATTGCTTTTAAAATACAACAGAAAGAAAATACCTACAAAAAGTGGGATTTGTTTGTTTTTTTTTGCAGTGCAACACAGCTTTTCGAACATATACCGGCCCTGTGAGTGTTAATTGGTTATTCTGCGTCTTCAGAGTATGGCCTGAAATCGTCGCACTCCGCCACCGGGCGCCACACCAAACACGACCGCGTACCTGGAGTGGTTTAGACTTGCACAATGACTGGCAACTTTCAGGCCTTCGCACTCACGGCGATTTGTTGTTCGAAACGTCGGCCCTAATAAACGTTCCATCATAACAAACCTCTACGGCACAGAAGCATCACATATATAATAGTCTTTAATTTTTGTGAACCCTATTCATCATTGCTTTTAAAATACAACAGGAAAGAAAATACCTACAAAAAGTGGGTTTGTTTGTTGTTTTTTTTTGCAGTGCAACACAGCTTTTCGAACATATACCGGAGTCGTTAGAGCCACTCATGCTTCACAATGCAATGCTTGGAATGCGCGAGCGAATCGTTTGCTTGATTGCGCGACTACGACCAGTTGTGCTCCGCCACCCTGGCATTCGGGATAGCAAAATCCTTCTACCTTTCATTATTTCGTTGCGCGTGCTTGCACAATTTCCATTCAAGGTAATCTTAAGCTGTCTCGGTTTTATTGTGACGCATGTTTGATTATGGTAATTCCTCTATAGATAGCAATTGCGTTCTTGTCCTATTCGAATAAAATTCTGCAGGCATCTTTTCGCATGATGTATAAGCGTTAACGATTCAACAACAGTTTACACAGTTGTAGTCGAAGTGCAGTGTTCCCCTATACTAGAGAACCACTGCACGTCTATTACATTTGAACTATCCAGATGGTCGGATCGCGAAGTATTGATTTGAGTGTGAATGAGCATATTACTCTGAATATTTTTAAATCGTTTTTTAACTTTGCAGATAACGAGAAATCAGATGCTCATGCGATTTCTTCTAATGAACAAAACGAGGAGGACCATTGCCTTTCTACACCAGGTGATTTTCAACTGGTCCAGACGTTCTTTTCTTCAAGAGCAGTTTTCAGATTTTGCCAATTCGAGCGACACAACTACGGGTACCCACCTAAGTGTGGGGCCCAAGCAAGATAACAAGTTCACTGAGCCATATTCCGAGACTGAAGAAAATACCCAGAACTCAGGTCTAATTTTTGACATATTTTCATTGTAGAATTTGTTAGAAAAGCGAATTACACCTGGGCGGTGTTCGAGGATGGAGGGGGGTTGCCCTTTTGCTACTTCCCGTCGACTTATCGATCCACCAACTAAGGATTCGCTGATCTTGTGAAGCCACGAAAAAAGAAAAATACCGTACGAATACTGTTTACCGATGGCTCGACGACCTTGCCGGAACTACCGAAGTAGCGAAAGGGCAAAATACCCCCATCCGCCTGCCCCCCCCCCCTGCACCTCTCCTACCTGTATGCCTTACATTTTTGAACAGCACTCAACAAAACACCATTTCCTACTTTAGATGATGAGTCTCTAGAAACGACGATTAATGCAGTTGCCAAAGCGGTTGTTGTTGCCATTTTGGACACAGTCGAAGCCAGAATCGAGGGAACTTTCTCGGAAGTCCAAGGAAACGAGAATTCAGAGGACCAAGAGAGGAGAGACAGCAGCGAAGTAGTTGATTCCCTGTCAACTTCACTGGTGCAACCAATTGAGTGTTCTTCCGTCAAGCGATTTTCCGAGGACAACAGTGTTGTTGATGTTGAAGAGGACAAGGAAGCTCCTGTGCGTGCTCTGTCCGGAGAGAGCGTAGTTACTGGTAGCACAGACAGCGCTTCTTTCATAACAGTAATACATAGGCCGACGAAAGAACATCAGATTCAAGCATTGAATGAAGATAGCAATCAGAAAATGGGAGAATATCACGAGAGTAACACGCCCAAGTTCATTCGAGACGACCTGGAGAAAGCTACTGATGTTGACGCAGAGGTGAAGAAATTTCAAGAGTGCCAAGACGCCTCGAGCAGACCTGTTGAGCTGCCTCCGCGAGAGCCTGTAAGAGACGATATTTCCTCGGTAGAGCTGCCGAGGAGGGAATCCTCTAATGAAGTGCTCAACGAGGGTGATCCCAACACGTTTGTGAATGTTAAAGTGGAGGAATATCCAGTCGACGAGGAAGTTGCGCAGAATTCTGCACATGATTTTGAACACTTGAGGTTAGGTTTTTTTTTTTCATTCCTTTTTATAGCTATGTTCTAGGCGCTAGAATTATTTCTGCAATTTTTTTCTATGTCTCATTTTAGTGAACGTGCTCAAGTGGGAAATGATTTCGACTATGATTCATCGGAGGGAAGCCGTTCAGACAGGATACCACAAGGAAGTTCTGATGGGTTAGAAACAGCTATCGAGTGTGAAACGAAAGTAAGATTTCAGTTAATTCTTTGTCATTTGAAATGTTTCATTTGTCCTTAAAAACTCCGCTTGCGTGGTAGGTGGTATGCCGGTGTCCCATTTAGGGGTAGTTACATGGTACAGATGGCTCAACAAAGGGGAACAGGTGTTTCCTTCCTACCTCAAATAGGAAATGCTTTTTACTTAAGAGTAGGGGGATGAATCTTGAGCAGGTAGAGTGATTAACCACCACCTAAATGACTCCTCGTGCAACATTGGAATCAAGCTGCCCTAAAATTGACAGAATGCTTTCATTGTCCAAGATAATCTGGCAGTAGCTGATTTCGTGACTCAACATTGCGAGAAAAGATGGAAGGGTTTGTGACATAAGGCTGATGACAGTCCTTGCGTCTTTCACCTCCTAGAGACGAACATTTTTGCGTTCATGTCGGATGAAAGCGTTCATGCTATTGTGTTCAAATGTGTATGGGACCATCAATCTTAGTGTCCATTGTTTGTTTTCTATCCCCCATCTTCAATACTTCATTATTTTCATATCCATAGGATGATTAAAATCATCTGTAAGGACTGTCAAAGAAATCACCTCCCGCGAAGCGTTTTCTTCGAATCATTTGTTTCTTCTTTAGTTAGGTAGCGCCTCCAGACCCGTATTTGAACCGCACTACCCACTTGCAACCACGGAAAAAGTACTCAATATGGTTATCCCATGAGTGCTGAGTTGTGGGCAAAAGTCGGACCACGGACGGGATTCGAACCCGCATCTTCCGCTTTCCGTGCAGCTGCGTTCCCTATTACGCTACCGGGCCACTTTTGACCTCTCAGCTCAATGGCTATTTGTGCCATTGCCTTCGAGCACTCACACGTTCAACGTGATGAGCCGGTTAGCCGATATCGGCAGTGAAGGCCGCAAAGACCTTTGCAATATTGTCCGTTTACAGATGGTGCAGTAGGAACTTGTGCGGGGGAGGGGGGAATTCTTCAGTGATTTCTCTTGGAAGGAACATCTGCTTTAAGCCGGTGTTGGTCTAGCGGTCGCGGATTGAAGGAAGAGTCTATTTTCAGGAAGATGGCTGCCCTTCTCCTCTTGGACAACGTGACCGTTTCGGAGCCCAGGTTCTATTCAGTTCTCTAAGAATCACTTTCTACGTTGCTTTCTCTTTTCAATTTTCTTTTGTATCTCTTTTAATGATTTTGTGCTCTTATGTAATCTTAATTAGGTGATTTCAACCATTCATGACCTGTCGCAAGATACTGATCCAACGAGGTTAACAGAGAGTGAGCTCCAACTTGGAAAGGTACCATGCTTTATCGATTTTCAAAGTCCCTTACTTTCATCAACTTAGGTTTTCAGTCGAAGCCGTATTGGATTCCGGATGATGATTGTTCAATGTGTATGCTGTGCAACTCGAGATTTTCTCTACTCAATCGTCGCCACCACTGTCGCGCGTGCGGTCGTGTCGCGTGTGGATCATGCTGCAAGGAAAAAGCCACCCTGGAGTATATGAAGGACGATCCGAAAAAGGTCTGTTTCCTTAAACATGTACTAGCTTTTTACTACGATCCACTGACAGAGCCGTATGAGGTCTTATAGAGAAATTGCATTTGTCACGATCCCATGGACGAAACACTATCATCTCTCTTCGTAGAAGTATAGGGAAGAACGAACGGTAGGTTGCAGGATGATGGGGTACCGGGGGAGGTCGTAACAGGAGGGGATATTTTTAAGGGGGAGGTATCCCCCAAAAAAATTCCCCCCTTATGGCAGGAAGTGCCCCGGTTCCATGTGCCAGATGTGCTCAACCGTATAAATGTAGCAGTTGCGCCAAGCGAATATGCACGGAAATGAAGCTGCAGGATAATGATAGCTGGAAGTTCATCAAGCCGCGCGTCATTCACTCTGTGATTCCCATACAACGCGGCTTGTCAAAAGTTGTGG